GAGATTTTATAGGGACACGAGCGTTCCGTGGAGCGCGCATCACGAGACTAATAAGAAGGGCCCACCGTACAGCTGTTCGCCGGTGCTCGCCATACTGGCGGGATTCTTTAGGCAAACCGGCGTTACATGACCATCGTGCGACTCGCTAATCATCGTAATTCCTGATCGTTATAATGCGCTTAACGCATCGCGGACCATTCATTTCCGTAATTCTTCGACATTTCGGTAATAGCACAGTATTCAGAACCCAAGCCAGCCTTTGGGCCCTCTTAGACTTTGCTTAGAAGTGTCAGCTGTAGATTGCATATATGTATATGACGTGATACGAAATTTTGAGCGCTTGCAAAATGAATCTAGTTCTCATTATTTTGTAATATGATTTTGTGCTTAAGAAACATTTTATAAAATATTTAATATTAGAAATGTGTGCGTTGTAAAAAATTTGTTAGAATTATACAGTTGTTTATTTAAAACACTGATAGTTTTTACTGCATCACAACCTTCAAACTTTAGCCCATTTATTGCGATTAATCGCAGCATGCGTTACCCTTTACACACTGCAGATTAACGTCTCCTACAAATCAGTTAGCCTGTACTTGCTCTTGGTGCGAGCTTCACGGTTTCATCTACGACTATCACAATAGTCCGCTCTCGGTAGACGCATATTTGCTTGCTTCCCGGAATTTTACGAGATCCGATATTAGACCGTTCATCCTACCGCCGAGGATATAGCCGTCGAGTCCTTCCTGCATTAGCGACGCTCGTTAGCTTCACCGTTCGTCGGAGCACAATCGTCCTTCTTTGGCGTCATTGAGAATGACTCAAATCCTTGTTAGGGCCATTTACCGATGCCGACGAGATGCTTAATAGAAGCATTTCCATTCTCGAGATACATTCTCGAGGTCGCTCCAAGAAATTTCTGTCATTACGTCGTCCAACATCGTTAAACTCGCGCTAATGTCTATTGTCAATTTCGTATTACAGTATTTTTCTGTGAACGTTTTCTCTTTTATCCACCTAAACTTTCTCCACAAATGAAAATATGGAAACGGTCTATATTTCGTGAGAAGCGGTGTTCGATTCGGGACTACTATCTGCGTTTTTCAACAAGTTGCAAATTTTACGCAAATTTGTCAAGTTTTACTTGCAAGCCCTCTTTATTTAAATACAATTTGTAATGTAAACATTTCTTTTACGAACAAAAAGGTTCGAATAAATCTATCGTGTAACGGATTGTTTCACAGCACTTTCGGCAAAGGTCAAACTAGAGTCGTAACTCGGAAATTTACTCAAGCGCACGTCATGAACGCAAATATTTGTGAATGTCATATTGATATAACTTTTTTTAACGATGACAGGAAGCTTGCATTTTTCTAACATATTCAGTAATATTCTCTGCTCAAAATAGTGATCCTGCGATGTATTATATGTGATAGTGATTACATGTACTATTGGCAGTCATAGCTTCTGTGATTATTTACTCAATTGGCCACTGATGTTTATTGCCGGGCTCTTTCCACATTTCCTCGAAAACGCGATGTGTTCAATACATTCGAGTCTTCGACTTGATTGAGTTTGTCCGCATTTCGCAAGAATCAAACTTGCCGAAGAATAACGCGGTCTCATGAATTTTATTGTTATGAGTTATCTCCAAATCATAAACAAAGATTATGCCGCAAGTATGTACTTTCCAATGTAAAATCTTTGTTGTGATTTCCGAGCCATTTCTAACTTCAACAAAAAGTGCAATCTCGATCGTTTTAATTGTCAAGTGATTACTGTTACGACGAAAAGTGACGTAAATTGCAAACGCAAAAAGCGCGTTTATGAATGCTGTAGGTGCAAATTGACACGCGACGCCCATTATTAAAATGATACAAAAGATTTCACTCCCGTTATTTGCATATACATGTGTATATTTTTTTATACGCTGTTCCGTATAATTCAATTGACGCTCGTGAATTATGAATTCTGCGTTGCGGAGATTGCACTGCGTGTTGATTTTACGATGATGTGATTTTTTTTATTGTCGTATAACAGGCTGATAGCGAAATAAATATTATTAGGAGAAATCTTTTGAGAGACGTATCGGCTACAAACTTTTCGCATTAATTAATTAATCGCGTATTATGATAATAATTGTGTTACATTAACGAGTTGTCTATAGAACATACACGTTAAACGGAGTATTATATGTGATACACGCGTTTAATTTCAACCTGTCGCTTGTTATTGCATGTTAGTTTATATTTTATTTTTTTTTTTTTATTAAAAATAGTAGAGGAAAACAGAAGAAGGTGAGAGGTGAGGAAGGAAGAAGGAAGTAGACGCGTAATGTATAGGATTTGTTGAGCCAATGAAATCATCTTTTATCGCGTTTTCAAATTTGTCGTGTAGAGCGAAACGCGAGAACAACACAATTCTTCCCCTATAAAATCCGGCAACACTTTCTTACGATATGCTTCTTTTTACTCAGGTATTAAGGTATTACTCAGGTATATTACTCAGGTATAATTTGGTTGTGAGAAGGAGTGGTACCGGGACGCGGCCGGCAAAGTGATTTTGTTGTGTCGACCTTACCATCGATGTCGGCCCGAGACGTGCGATTGTGAATCGTTGCCGAGACTGACGGAACGACTTATAATTTAGTTTTCGCGCAAAAAGAATAGGCGTCCCCGGGATCGAAATTAATGGTGATCGATAGTGCTGGGTGATTTTATTGGCTGAACAAATCGGATTGTTTGTTTTTTTTGAAAGAAAGAGAGAGAGAGAGAGAGAGAGAGAGAGAGAGAGAGAGAGAGAGAAGAAGAGAGAGAGAGAGGAGGAGGAGAGAGACGCAAAATTGCGAAACGATGAAAGGAGACACAAAATTCAATATTTTTGTTTATAAATGTCGAAGAGAAAAGGAAGGAAAAAACAGTTAAAGGCGTGCGATGGAAAAAAATGAAAGTGCGACCACGTACATGTGTGATTGACGGAAAACCGATGTCGAATTATTGCGATCGTCGTGCCGTGTGATTGCTGGCAAACGTATTCGGACACATGAAGGTCGAGGAGCGCAGTTACTCATTAAAGAAATTAAGGAAATCCTTTTTCCGGGCGGATCGGCGCACAAACGTGAAATTGGACAATTGCTAATTGAATCATTCCTTCAAATGCGTTTCTTATTTTTCCTTTTTATGAAGTCAACGATATAATTACGATTTCGCAAAAACAACCGCGCTCTTCGATTCATGCGCGATCCCGCACTCACAGTGAAATCGGTATAATTTCGTAAATTTAACTTTATGCACATATCAAAATACATATATCGAGCAGTGTTTTAAATAATTAATATAAATACTTATAATATAAATAAACTTGTTTATGTTTTAAATTTTTATTTTGGATTTAAAACATATTTTTTAGAATTTTTAATTTATATTTTATATTTTATATTGGAACTGCTTACGTTTTGATCTAGGAATGATTTTTTTTTATTTATCTATGAAATCGAAATGTTAACTTATAAAAAATGCATCGATTTCAAATGGGTATCAATCCCCGCGATCTCTCATTTTTTTGAAATATTATCGAGTACGAATGTTGCGTATTATGAGCCATGTGCATGTAAGAAAGAGACGTACGTATATGTTTAACAAAATTGTTAAACGACACGCATCTGTAAACAAATCCTCCTCCCCCTCGCCCCTATCGTACTGTATATTATTAATATAATTAAATCTTAATTATTATTGACGTAAAAATAAAGATTTGGCGAGTGATGGTGAACACGTTTTGTTAGAGTGGCGGAAGCTAAATTACTACTGAATTTCGATTAAAATAAACGACATGAAAGTAATACAACAAACATCTTGACGTTTTGCTTTATTTGCCGTATCATTATCACCTATGGTCGAGAAATTCTCACTTCTCTCCACCTCGTCGATATTATATGTGCGTCAGTGTCGTGAGAATAGAGTCGTCCCCTACGGATTTCCCTTGTAAATTACTTCTTGTATCATAATGTTGATTGTTCAAATAAATGCGAAAGTGCGATATTTCTATTTGGTCTTGATCATTACTAACAATCTGCGTAATAACTGGCTCGATCGACAAGCGTTCCATGCATGAGATAAACAGGAAAATAAATCGGATGAACTTTCGAACGATTCGATGAGATTTTACAGAAAAGATTATTCACGCGTCACTGACCAATCAATCATTCATTGTTTCGTAAGACATACTTTTTTCTTATCTCATAATAAATATACATTTTTTCTTCTTTTTTTTCTTCGTGGGCGAACACTTTTACTTTCGCGTTTTATTCCCGTCCGTGATATATCCATGAATAATTACAAAGTTTATTCGCGACTTAACCGCAGCGTAGCATTCAAGTCTTTCATTGCATTAATTAAGTGCTTAATGAGTAAAGTGAACACAACGCGAGGAAACGGCGCAAAATTCGTATTCGCGCATAATCGATCGAGGCCTGAATAACTCTCTTCATCTCTCCGAGACCTTTTCTTCGCGATTGTCTCCACACAAATCCGGGTCTGTTTGTCGATCGACGGTAAGAGACTCCTCACCTGATCGCGCTCGATTATTCCATCTCGTGATACACCGCATCATGTATAATTATATACATGATATGATAAAATTGCCGTGACGGCCAAGTGACAAGCGGAATAATCGCGCGTCGCGGAAAAACGCTTGAGATAGTGGCGTGCTAGAGAAATCGATTAGACGCCTTTTATAATATTTCAGAACGAGTATGTCCCAATATACGTCTACATCGCTATGCTTGAATAATGGTATTGTTCGATTATCGTTCGCGCTGAAGCATAATCGAGAAGCGAAAACGCGCGTGCGGGGTTGGGAATTATTATGTATTATATTCTCAAATTAGTTAATAGTCAATTAGAACGATGCGTGTGATTCGATATATGCACATATCTAAAAAAACGAGACGGTTGATTTGCACATTGTCGGTGATTCAATAACCACTTGAGATAATTAATGTTTTTTATAATTTTTTCTTACATATAATATTAACACTCGAATATATATGTGTATTTTTTAAGCGCGCATTATGACGTTTATGTCGTTTAAATTGTTTTATTATTCAAAAGCAGTGCATTATGCAAAAAGTGTTGGAAAGCATCGTTCTAACATTCGTAAGTGCAATTGTACAGCAAAGTATAGTGGTGTTTGCTCATCATCGAAACTCGCATATAATATATCGGACTGACTCTAAAGGTGTTTCTCTCTACGCCTACAGTTACGCATCGAAGGCTTCGTGTCGTTGTTGCTTATCGCGAAATCGAATATCGTGGCACGTTTTACCTTGAAGAAACGAGTCGCCTCCTTCCGATGACTTATTGTTCGAGTCGAGTGACGCAATCCGAAAGAAAAAAGCTCTAACATTAGCTTTATTTGATAACAGTCAACTCTCTTTTTACTCAAGTACTACAGTTTCGATTTTAGATTCGCGTAACTGTCATTTAATTGTTGTTCGCCAGTGGTGGAATCTCGCGATCTCGTTTTCGCTGCTCGTAAGTTCATCACGAGGAAAATGGTTGAGATCTCGCACATTTATTATTGCTTATTCCGGCCGTCTCTCTCTTTATTCTGTAAATTGTATCACGTAATTAGATCGATTAATAAATCGGAATTGACGTAAATCGTGCAAAAAACTGCGCTAAAAAATAGTAACTTTAAACAGAAGACAAAAATAATAGACTTGTTTGTATATACGGAAGGATAACGTGACCCAGAGATAAAAATATAAAGAAAAAAGAAAACAAGATGAAGAGATTAATGTTTCCTCAGTAATTAGCACGTTGGAAATATTTACCGATTTTCTGTAATGTTTTTATTGGAAACACTATTTCAGAATAATTTCCACGTATTCACGATAAAGTTTCTGCAACCAATGCTCAATTGCAAATTTTTCCACTGGATTTTTCTCACTCGACACTTCTGTGAGGGAAATCATCAAGAACCTGATGAAACTAACCGCCACTATTCGGAGTGCACATAGTAAATTATTATCGCAGCCGAAATTGTCCTCGATTTAGCGTAACAAGATTTCTGCTATCGTAACCAGTATGTCGATATTCATTATGTCGCAGATGGTCTCACGCTGACGCTTTTCGCTGATATTATTGATTGTCCCGTCACGATGAATCCGGGATGCAAAATATTTGGATCGACGAGCGCCGTCCGATCCCTATAGTTTGTCCACGCTATTTCTACACGCTATTTCTACACGACTATTCTACATGCCCGTGAATTAATTGGAGGTATATCACGTTTGGTCCAATTTTTCCACGTGGAATTGGATGCAGTTCTCTTTGCGTGGCAAAAATATCAAAATATTACGCAAAAATACAACGTGAAGAACCTTTATGCGGTATTCCGCCATATATTTTTATTGATTTACCAACGAACAACGCACAGCTGATTCGAGCACTAATTAAAAAATAATAATCTATAAAATGCGAATTATTCAAATAGCTAAGCAGCTTTGCTTAGAATTCGGCGCGCAGTTAAATTGATTCTGACAATAAAAACATTTTAATGCAAATTTAGAAAGTAATAAATATACAGAATACGTTTTTCAGTGAGATCCTTGGATCAATTTCAGTTCAATTATTTTCCAACAAACTATCAATACAAATTTTCTGATTTTATTAATTTTGTATATTTCTTACTATTTTTTATCTAAAATACTGTGTCACTTTTTTGTTTTATCTTTTGCCTCTTTCGATCGATTGGTTCGTCGTTGCGGCGATTTTGCCACCGCAAAATTAGCAGGTGCACGATGAATCGATAAAGGCGTCGTCTTTATTGTATCGGTAGGACAACCACGTAACAGCTCGTTTCTTCCAGCCGAACGCGGTGTCCAATTGTGTAACGGGCTCAAACCACTTTAATCACTTCTCGCGCCACGCCAAACGACACGGACTACAACTGACCGTTATATTCCGAACGCGTTCGTTTGTCTCGTAAATCTCGACCGAGTAAGCCGCGGCGTCGTCCTTTTTACAACTCACCACATTTATTCGAGGGGATAATATTTTTCTGCTCGCGCTTTTCACGCTGATGAGAAAGGCGCGCGGAACATGCCAGTCCTTCCCGCGCGCAAGCGCGTGAAAGTATTTTTACAGTCGGTTTTTACATGCATTGTTTGAGGTTTATGTCGCGCTTATTTTTACGGCTGTTAAAGGCGAAAGAATATGATCGCGCGGTCGGGAAACAACCCGTTGATTTCATTGTCTGCGTTCGCTTCCTACTGTAACTTTCCCGCGCACAAATTAACCTTTCGATGCATTATTTAGTCCTCACCTCTTAGCTGAAAATTAAATCATCAAATGTTCGAAACAATAATTAAATTTCATTGAGGAATAATAAAGAGGATCTGAAAATTTTATATTGACCACACTTTGTAAATTTAGTCAACTAGAAAAAATTACGCAATCCTGTGGTGAATTTTAAGTTTTTAATTTAAAGCTGTAGCAAACCTTGCAAAATCTTGATTATAAATTTTTATAGGTAAATGTATAATTTCCGAATTAATTTTGAAAAGTTTGATCTTCCGTGACAATAATATAACATGAAAAATCTTCAAGACATTAATATGCAAATTTGATAGCGACGATTATGCTAGTGGCGAAGATCGTGACTTTCTGACGGTGCGACAATCTCCGCCAATCAAGGCGAATGGGCGTCACAGCAAAGGTATCGCGTTACGATCTACTCACTTCGGAAGCGCGCAGCGTGCTCCGGGTAATCTCTACTGAGGGAGTAAAAGACAGACGAGGATAACGCCGATAATCATAATCGCGGTCGTCGATAGCCGCGGTGAGCAGCGCGATCAGCCGCCATTTCTTGTCGTCGCTCGTTTTGGCGCTTATCAAGATATACTGGGTGTGTGTCGACTACTATCGCATCACAGTCTCGAACAGCACATTTTTTATGAATTTTGACTTTTCCATGGCGAAAGTATCAGAGTCATGAAAGTATCAATCGATCTTTGCCAAATTGTGAGCCATTGAAAATGAGTAACGAAAGCTTTAGGATTAAAAATGATGATTAAAATATTATTCTTCAGTCTAATTCGTCTAATTGACTTATTTTAATAGTTATAATATTTACTAATGTACATAAAAAATAACAAAGAAATGTCTGTTAAGAAAGGGATCTGTTCCGGATTAAAAAGCATGTCATTAAAGATCGATACGGCGATATGAGCAGTCCTATTCTGCTGACGCACGCGGTCGCAGCCGGTCGCGTAGTTCACATCAGAGATGACGATCAAATGACTGACACGTGCTTCCGGTTCCTCGTTTCTGCCAACGAAAGAACGAGCATTCCCCGATGCGCGACGTTTAAGTGCACGGTGCGCCATCCGGGCGCATCCACGCGGAGCAGATTGTTATGTTAATGTGTGAATCGGCTTTAATTATGTGTGGAAATGTACGTCCGATTAAGATGTATCACGCAAAGGGCTGAAAGGGCGAGATTCCCCGCGGAATGTAAGCATTTTTCTCACCGCATTCCCTTTTTTCACGGAGAATAAACGAAACGCGACACATTGCGTGATCAAGCTTTAAATGTGCGGTATTTAAATGAATCATTGAGCACAGGAATTCAAGAAAATTATTTTCAAATGTGTCCAAGTTATTATCTCGGCAGATTATGCGCTACTAATTCTTTTCTTTTTTAAACTTTTTACGCACTTAAAAGATCGTTAAATATCGATTTAATAAAATCTACTGAAGAATAATGCTTATGAATTACGCAAAGTATTGTAACACATTTGCTTTTGGTGATCTTAATATACACATATTTGCATCATTGATAAACCAACATCATCAATAATACAATCTTATATAAGAATAAATCACAAAAAAATCTGTTTTTATAATGTGCCTGTGTCGTTAGTATTAATCAGTATTAATTATTATATCAAGTGCTACAACCTGACGATTCATTGATATTGCATAATATATCAGATTTACGATAATATATTCCGATGTAAAGCATTTAAATCCCACCTTAAGCGTTTGCAAAAAATGCGGCACCCTTTAAACGACGCTATTATAAAACCGCTAAGCATCTTCCCCGTTCTTCACCGATTTCACCCCCAACGACGCAACTCGCCCCCCAGCTGGGATCACAAGCATACTAATTTGACGCTACACCTGTCACACCCTCGTTAGCCTTGCTCTCCCGCCGTTGACAGTGACATCGGTCACTTCGGAAGTTGTCCGCCCTTCCGTCGTCTCGTCACGACCTGCCGATCGTGTGTCCTCCGACTGGTCATTGGTAACAACGCTTTTTGCGATGAAAGCAGACGAGAGAGAGAGAGAGAGAGAGAGAGAGAGAGAGGGCGATAGAGAGAAAAAAAACCAATGCGCGAAACCAGGTGCCAGCCAGGAAATCGTCGGATGGTTTCACCTCGGCGATGCGTGACACGCGCGAACAATGAGCGGCGTATCGAAAGGGGGTGAAACTGACCGACAGGAGAGAAGGAGAGGGAAAGCGAAGACGGAGACGCTCGGTGAGGGGAAATGCAAAGGTGGGCGAGGGGGAAGGAGTCCTCCGAGATAGAAGAGAGGGAAAGTTGAGAGAAGAGAAAGGGAAATGCGCGAACGAGGGACGGAGAGAAACGCGAGAGGACGGGAAAAACAATGACGGAAGGGGTGAAAGCGGTGAGGAGAAACGGTGGTGGCTGGCGAGAGGAGGGGATGACGGCTGGTTGGGATGACTGATAAGAGAGGGGCGAGTTTCTGAAGGAGGAAGGAAAGGGAGGGCACAGGAGGGACAAGGCGGCGCAGGCGCTAATCAACCCTCGTCAATCCCTTCGGATTGCGGCGGGCATGCGCTTTGCGGCTCGCATTCGCGTTTCCTCCCCTGTTCTTCCACCATCCCTACTTCCGACAGTTCCGTTCACACCTACCGAAATTATTGTTATAGGCGTAGCACGCCGTCTGCATGGACTCATGCGTGCACGTTGCAATTTGCGCCGCGACGCTGCGTTTTTCGGGATCTGTGTCGTTTCTTTTGGTCATCGTGTCGATTCAAAAATCGTTTCTCTTCAATTTCTCAAACTCTTATATCCGTCAGTATACTTCTGTTTTATGATCGATTCAGTATTTTCACTGAAACTTTACATTCTCATTTTCTACAATTCTGTAACATATTGCAGTAGTGATAATTTGTATCTTGCGCGGTAATATTTCGATTAATTTAATATTTCTTGCATAAATGTCTAATTGAAGTATATAAAAAAAACCGTAAATAGATAAAGGAGAGTAAAGTAGTAAACTCTAGGAAGAAATAATAAATTCATACTTTAGCCGATCCCTATTTTAATGCTAAAATAGCAGATGACGTGAGAGGGTGGTTCGATGTAGTCGTTGTACGGGCACGCAGTCCGGTTCTCTCGAGATCGCACTATCACTGCCACCAATCCCGATCGCCTTCCTGACATTCTTCGGATCGCGCATTAACGAGGCGTGTACGCTGTCGCGCGATCGACCAGCATTGCGCTGATTTAATAGCCGATTGATAAAAGTAACCGCTCATACAAGAGACCGGTAGCCATTCATAGTCGGTTGCTACATGTTGCCTCGACCTTATCTGGAACACTATAATTATACTTAGCGACACCTCTCACGCGGCTCTACTGGATCTTCATCACTTAGATCACTGCCGTTCGTGCTTTGTTCGCTGGCATTCCTCGCGAATACATGCAAGATGCGAACAAACCTCGACATCTTACTATCAGAGTTGCTCGAAAGAGAACGTTCGATGCTTTCGAAAGCGATAGCATTGAATATTGCGAACATAAATATTTTCTTCCTCTTTTTGATATTTACAATGCTTATATATTTTTATAACTTTAAATCATATTGTATTTTCTTCAAGTTATTCGGAATTTTTCTCCTCGCGATGAAACACTCTATATAATGACGAAAGGCGAATGGAAGTAGTGTGTACGTGCGACAAGATAGCGCCGGCTGTAATTACGGAATATGTATACGCGTAGAGTTTCTCGTTCGCCTGTCGAGCGTGTTGTTCGAGCCCGCGAATTGTCGTTACTTCTGTTAATTAGTTATTGACGAACATTTCGTCGCTCCCTTAATAGTTGTCTCTCTCATTCTCGTGGGACGTGAAGCGTAACGAACGCACAGACGTGGTCGTTCTCGCTCGCACGTATGCATGTAGATGCTTTGAAGAAGAAGGAAATGGAAATACGATTGTTGTAAGAATAATACGCATCCAAACCACAACGTGGTGTCCAATCTCGATTAAATATGCCATTCCTCCGAATACAATCGCGCGACTTACTCACGTTTCCTACAAACGACTTGAGCAATCAAGGAAATATTCCAAAACACGTGCAATTATTTCTTCCATTTATCGTGTAAAATAAAATAATTAAAAATAGAATTTTTCCTTGCTCGCCAGCTTGTCATTCTATTCATTGGAATCGAACTGATCTCGTCATTAGTGGTTTTATTAGTCCAAAATCAAACATATTTCGAGCTAATTGAAACATTTCTCCATAAATTTTACAACGATCAAGTTTCATTCTCTTTTCACGACAAATGTTCCTTCATATACCACTTGCATGTCATTTTGATGGCATTTTCGCAGCATTTTGTGGTAAAAATGCTGACTCGCCGAAGAACTCGCGGGTACAACCGTCTTATCCCTCGTGCTTAACAATTCGCAAGATTTCCCATATCGCAGCGGCCAGCCTTCTCCTCTCAAGGTAGTCGCCTCGTTGACATTCCACAGGCGTATTAGCGAGGCGTGAACAGATCCTGACACCAGCGCATTGATTTAATAGTCGATGCCCACACTAGGATCTCCGCAGCGCGCAGCGTCGTCGTTTCTCGTCGTCTTCTATATACGAACGGACGTAGGTATGTACCTACGTGCATACGCGGCACGCGTGTGCGGAGGAAACAATTGAACGCCATCCTTCCCTCTCTCCGCTCATTTTCTCTCTAGACCTCTTTCTCTCCCTCTCGCCGCCTGTTTCATCGCGCTCTTCCTCTCTCATTCTCTTTTCGTCTCTCTCTCCTTCTCTCTATCCCTCCCCCGTACTCTAAAGCTTAATAAGCACCGCTACCTACATTCCATTTCCGGTGACGCTGACGTCATTCAACAATCCGGCTACGGAGAGCAAGCACGAGCCGCATACGCGAGATCTCATCCATCGTTTACGTATCTCTGCACCAAATCTCCGTTTTTCGTCGAGGTTTTTTATTCGGCTCTATCTCTCCTAGAGAGAACGCCGCTGCTCCGCAATTGAATCCGCGAGAGAACATAATCTTCTTGACCGAATTAAGTCGCAGCGAAGATTTTTTTATACAAATAATTAATAAAGTTTATAAACAAAGCTGCAAACAAATGTAAGCTCGAAATATCACTCTGTGCTTCGTCGTCTGTAAATCTCTCGCAGACGCAGGTCGATTTCGTAAATCCAACACGTCCTCCACTTATCGTGATCGAAAACACGTCGGCGCGAATCGACGTCATCGTCTGACGATCGTTCTTGGTCGCACTCGAGACCATCGAGACGCGCGAACTCGTCGATGTTAAGTGCTGGATCCACTTCGCGGGAGATTCCTCGAGATTGTTCTCTTATGCCAATCTCGCACTGTCTCTCGGCTATTTTTTTCGCCGATTTTCTGGATTCTTTTATTTTTTATTTTATTTTATTTTTTTTTTTTTTTTGGAGATACTTAATGGTTCCAGCAGAGTGGATCAAGAAAGGGAAAGAGGGGTAAAGAGACGAGAAAAAAGAAACGAGGAGGAGACCGAAGTGACGGAGACAAACGCAGAGATCGCGACGTAGAGAACGTAAGAAAGAAACGGGAGAACCGATCGCGCATCCGACAGCAACATAACCAGGTAGGCCTTGAACAACTCGTGGGACCCACGCGCGCACGGCTCTCTAGGAGTGTTGGCTCGTATATAGAGGCATTCTCGGTTGGCGCTGCCGGGCAAAAGCAGATAAATAACTCAGGTATGGCATTGGCTAAGTAAACGAGCCTACGCATGCGCCTGTGCAACGTACACCTGTACCTCCACGTGTCGCGTAACGTGTGTGTAACATGTGTGTAACGTCACACAGAGCGCAGTGCGCCTCTTGTGCGGTATACGCTCGGCGTAGGCGGACTCGGTTTATCCGTGTACGTCGCGATTTTTTTTCTTCTTCCTTATTTTGCGTACACATATACGCACGTAGATAGGTACGTTTGTGTGCTTACGCGAGTATTTTCGAGAGTGTTGGTACGTGCATACGCGACCGACCGATGCGGTACAAAAAAGATTGAACGAGCATCGAGATAGATAGATAGATAGATAGATAGATAGATAGATAGATAGATAGATAGATAGAGAGAGAGAGAGAGAAAAAACTCTTTTTTTAAGTAGTCGAGATTCCGTCAGGATTCGCCAACACTTGACTTATGTTCGCGTTGTCTTGCACTACCCGCGGAAATGCGCTTAATCGCAAAAACAACAGACATCGATGCTGAATTGAATCATAAGAGCGTAGGAGACGATCACTTGGTAAATTGCCATATGATTGGAGAAATATTGCTTCACTAAGATTTTTTAATGTCTAGGTTATTTTGGACGATTATTTCGATTCAAAGCGAAGATTTATCCAGTTGATATTTAGAATTAACCTTTGATCTTTCTGAGACTTCTGTTACGTGTATGTATCACTGAACATTCCGAGAAGAGATGATAATTGAAAAGAAGATATTGAAAATTAGTGACTGTCAATCATATGAGTTGACATGTGCGATTACCGGTAAATTCCTTGTAAATATATTTTCTCGTGCAATATTAATTATTTGATATAATTTATTTATTATCTTACATCACATATTATTATATTATAAATCGCTTATTTATTGATCTGCAACAATTTGTAATGTATCTGTTTCAACATTATCTGAAAAACAATGCGCGATAAGCGTGTCTTTATCTTGCAAACGAAATAATCTTGGCGCGATGGGTTTTCCGCTCTTCCGTGATTCTATTAAACATCGATATAAGTGCCCAACACCCGGTAGTGAGATTTGGCACTTGTACAATGAACATCGCATGCAATAGAGATACGAACAAACTGACGGACGATCGGGCGCACGCCTCCTTACTCACTTATAAAGTTAATTGAGGGCAAACGTCCACCGCAGTCTATACTAACTAACCCAAAAACATTCGTCAGAAAAAGCTCTGTGAATTATGCTATTGAAATTTGTTTTTGTTTCAAGTTAAAGAAATTTATTTTTTCTTCAAGTTAGAGAAAAGAGATGCTTGTTTCCTCGAAATAAAATATTTTCATAAATGTTGACTGACATTCGTCAACTCTTTCGCATTTTTATACAATTTTTTTATACATCAAAGATAATTGGTTTCATTTGCAAAGCTTATACTTGCCGTGCTTGACTCCTATTTGTATGTTCATGAAATCTTTTTAACTCACTGCAGAGTAAAGTGCGGTACTCGTGAGCGTTATGCATCACAAATGCATCTCGACTTCGCGAAATGCACTCTCTGTACGCGAAACGCGTAATGACAAGCTGACACGCTGTGACATAAACCGCGACCCATTTCGTCAGCCGCGAGACAACCGGAATTACCGGCTGGTGTGTAAAAATAATAATAGAAGCTTTTATGATAATTTGCGACACGGATTGACACGCCGTAATCGAGAGTCAGAAGTTATAAAGTCACGAGCGACAAACTCGCGCGCGAACAATCGCACAGCACGACAAATCTATCAATGCTTCTCTCGGAATACTCGGTTTGCTCTTCCTGTTCATGCAAATTAGTCAGAAAAGAAAAGAGGCCTCCGTCATCTCGTACTCGGTGAATTTATTTACTGTTTATTTTCGTCTAACCGCGATGGTTTTGTTGGTTTATCATTTAGTTGGAAATACTCGCGTTCCACCGTTGTTGACCTTCGCGAAACTACTCTCGGAGAGTACACGTTTACGCGGAAAAGCATTCGCGCGATAAGTTATTACCTTATGGTGGCCTTCGGCAAAGCTAGGGTCGAAACACAGGTATCGTCGAGGCCTATTCCTGCATTTTTCTCGCGCGCAAAGTTTGTTCTGAATTATTTATGAGAAAGATGTGTCGTGGCGTTATGATTACAGATTTATGGCGGGTGGATCGGCGCTTAATAGTGCGCAGTAAGTGTGAAAACTTTATTAAGCGACATACATATAATTGCTCGCGTGTGACTCGATAGATATTGATATTTTTTGTTAAATAATTACAATTTAAATCTGATAAATATCGTAATTTTAAATAAGCTTATTAAGGCTTGACGAATAATCGTTGTCAGAGCCCTGATGTCGGCAGAGCCGTACATAATAACAGAAATTAATCATAATTAATTCAGATCGCTCTTCGATGTTTAAGAAATTAATTCGCATGTCACGTTTTTGTGGCCGTCCGAAACTCGTTTCTATTAAGCTGGCGTGTGCAGTCGCGTACCTCGATACAAGGGTTATGTGACTCCGTCGAAAAAGTATTAGAATTTGCGGTGAGAAATGAATGGGAGATTATCGTGCTAATTTCGTCGTAGTGTGGAACCGCGCTACATATTAATCATACATTTTTCACTTGTGGGACGAGATCGAGCTGACAAATCGCTGGTCAGACGCGTGGTCGCCCTGATGAATTATAGTAACTGCATGACAAGCTACAAATATTGAATCTAATTATGGTAATGCGCCAGTAATCTATTTGCATTGCTGAATAATAAAGACACACAGGTGGTACGGAAAGAGATCTCATCCTGATGGTCGCGCGAATGGCTCCAAGGGAGCGGGACGAGCCTGGCGGAGATCAGAAATGCGGACAAAGACGGGGATATAAATAATAATATGATTACCGGATCGACCGTAAATAAGATGAAAAAGAAACGAATGTCTTTGAGGTCTCGCGTTATTACGATATCAGTGATCGCCAGATAATTTCTCTATCGCATTGATAAATTTGTAAACAATATTTTTATAGCTTAATATACTGTGTATGCAGTCGCAACATAGTCTTTTATTTTTTTTTAATTACATAAGATTTGCATTAAAATATGATTGTCCATGCAAACTTTGTTTTAAAGAAAGAAGGAGATTATTCAAATTAATTAATAAAAAAATAGAAAAATAGTTATTTGGGCCTTATTAATCAACTAATTATCAATTTAAATATGATAGCTATGCAAGCCCAAAGCCAGGTGTTAGGTGCTCTTATATTAATAAAACGAATTATAATCGCAGACGTTTTGCAGACATTTATTGTGGCCATCCTCAGTGAAAACATACAAACGGCGAGCAATGCCTTGACAACAGAATTAAAATAATACATAAATAAATATAAACCGCAAGATTAAACGCAATTCAGTTAAAGATTTTAACCGTTTAAAATCCCTGTTCATGTGTTACGGATGAATCTCGAAGATTTTAAATATAAAATTCTTACTTGACGAGTCAGTGGTATAAAATAGTTAAAAAAGCTATGTATTATGGTACTAAATTATTCAAATTATACGTTATAGAATCCTTTTTGTTTAGTTTTCTGGAAAGAAAAAAGGATATCAGAATAATTCGTAAAAAATATTTAAATTATCATATATATATATATATTTTTTTAAAAATTATTATCACTGCTCGTGTCCTCGTTTTCCCATTCCTTTTACTGCGCCATAGCACGGCTCGTTGCGTGATTGATCGTGTGTGCATTTGGGTCCTTTCGCTCGTTTTTCCCCCTTGAATTACTCGCGCGCGCAGTCGTCACCGGGCATGCGAGTCATTAATTAAATTATGTGCCGCACGGATTCGTGTCGTCACGCTTCAAATTGCGAACGAAACCGCCGCAGGCCGCCTTTTTTCCACATTTTGCAACAGACGGAGGCGTTCCTTAGAAATCTTCACGCAGTGACACGCACTCGTGTGCCGGAACGCGGCATTCTCGCGTGTTTTATACGCGACACGACCCGCGGGACCGATAAAGCGCATTCAGATTAGAGCTTTTTGCTAGGAAACTTTTCGTAAATCTTGCCGTGCTTCTTCCCGTCTAATCGAAAATCTCCCATAAAGTTTTTGCCTTCGGGAGGTATCGTTCAGCGTCGGGACGATGATAAAGTGTCTCCGAGTGACCAATTCTGAATATAATATCGCGTAGCCCGGAGAATTCTCCTCTACGAGGGCTCTTTCCGGGGCGAATTCGCCTGCTTCGTGCCTCCCGAGAGCGATCATCTTGATTTATGTATTTTTAATACGTCGAGTGAGAAACTTACAAAAATAAGGGCGCCGCTTTGCATTTAATAAATTTAGTGTAATCCAGTTGGTGAGAATTTTAATGCGAAAATTACATTTATCGATAGTTTTATAGCATTGTAAATATAGATGAAAGTGCTAGGCTTTTCCCGAGTCTTTGCTAAAGAAAAGTGGTTTATGCACAGGGCAATTTCTATGAATTTTTCTGTGGGATATTCCGCTATTGCGTCGAAATCGCCGTCGAAGGGACCGCCCCGGAAGAAATTCCGCTTCGGGCTCGCTTGGTGGACGTTTAAAAGAGCCAAAACGACGGGCGCGTGTCTGCCGTGAAACGCGTGCCTCGTGCCGGCGGTGCATTCCGTATGCCCGCGGGAGGGCGATAAAACGTATGCAGATTAAAACATTTTATTTGAATGATAATATAACACTTGTTGATGCAAGCGCGTTGGCCTAGGTTAGCATAATAAACATTATGTAGATCTCCGCGCGGTCGCCGCCGCCGCCGCCGCCGCCGCCGCCGCCGCTATCCGTTCCGGCTACGTCCCGGCATTACACAACGTTAAACTCCAGCAGCGTGTATGCGTCCATGTGTATATACGCTTATACGCAAGTATATTTGCCCCCTCCGCCGTTTCTTGCCGTTCTTCATCGCCATACCGCTCATCACCCCCCGAGCTCGAAGGGGCCCTCCTTACTCCCCCTTGCTATATTCACGAGACGTTCA